CAATCAAGTCTGGTTAAATATAAACATTAAAGCATTGGAATCTGTGAGATTATATATTTTGTAATATGATCAACTATCGTGAGAAATTTGATGTTTTGATTGATGCTTTCTGCAGTTTCTACCACATATTTCGTGTTTTTTGCATTTTTACTGTAAATTTATGTAAACCTTTACCTTATAAATGCATTTTCAGTCTACAATTTATTAAATGAGTTAACATACTATATTACTTGTTTCTCCTATTTTTGTAGCTGACAAAAGAAATCTAAAATCAGTTTGTTGCCATGACTAAGAAAGATGTATAATAAACAACATAAACCAAATCCCAGTGATGCACATTATTCATTGAACAAGATTATTAAAAAAAAAAAAAAAGCAACTTGCAATCACCAAGACGGAGCACAGGAGCCGAATGAATAACAAGGAGAAACACAGTAAATCAGATTTCTTTAACCTACGTGCGCCGTGCGGTGAGACTGGCAACTCGAAAATCAGATTTTGGGAAGCTGTCGATGGAGGTTCGAAATTGATTGCGAGGTTAGGGTATGGCTTTGCGACTTGGGTCGTGGATAATCGTTCCTCGCGTTTTCTTCTTTTGCATTTGCAGAAATTCTAAGAGAAATTGATTTGGATTTTGGTCCGGTCGTTCCGTCGTTGGCAATCGGCAGAGACGAGAGGAGAGGAAAAGGAGAGGAAAGGGAAGAGTAAATTTAATCAATGCTCACTCAACTTCAATTTACATTACTACTTGCTTAACGAACTATAAAATATAACCCGTTACTCACTCATCTCTCCAAATACTTACACATCCATCACCCATTTAATTTCTGTCAACTTCAATGAACGGAATGTGCCCCTTGTTGGACGGAAATTTGACGTGGCAGGTAACAAACATTAAATCAGTCCAACTGGGCCACAATCGTTAAAATCCCATAACAAATGAAAACATATTTTCTGGTAGAGCCAAAAACACAACAAAATATGAGAAAATGAAGATATTAGAGAAATGAAAATTCAAAGAATTTAAGAATCCCACATTCTTACCCAACCAATGCTAAAAGGAAAAACTGAACCAGTAAAGAAAATGTAAGAGGTGGTCTTTCTTTCCTGTAGAAGACATCCGTTGACACCAGCATCTTAGCCATAACAAGAAAAGCGTTGATTCTTCATAATACTCCACGTCTACATTGTATCCATTTATCAAGAATTCTAAACAAGTTTTCTTGCGGCCATGATCATATGGGTTTTTGAATCGCCTCCAGCTCCTCTGTTGTAATGTTGCGGGCAATCTGTGGGAGGAATAGAATGTCAAAAACTGTTAAACACAAACAATCCGAAATGAAATTCAAGACTTCAGTTGGGATTTTGGGGGCGATTTCTAGGGTTCCAAGTTGGGGAAGAATTTGTTTTCCTTCTTTGAGGCTTCTTTAGAGAAAATGGGTTTTTATTTGTCATGAGATTTTTGTCCAGTTGGACTAATTTAACATCTGTAATGTGCCATGTCAAATTTCCATCCAACACGTGGCACATTCCGTTAATTGAAGTTAATGGAGATTAAATGGGTGATGGATGGGTAAGTATTTTAATAGATGGGTGAGCAACGAGTTATACTTCATAGGTCGGTGAGCAAGTAGTAATGTATGCTTGAGTTTGGCGAGCATTGATTAAATTTACTCGGAAAGGGAAATGTTGAAATGATTTAGGGCAACTGAAGACGGCTTACGGCTTACCCAGCGTCCCAAGCTCCCAGCCCTTTCGTAAATTGTATTATACATCAACCCATCGGGGCGGGGCGACTTGCCATCACTACCCATGACTTGAACAAGTAGATTATTTTGATTTTTTTAGTAGCTCCCCAATCATTCAAACACCGTATATTCGAATTTTGGAGAAATATCTTTCAACTAATGGATGATTTGATTTAACTATTCAGCAATAATCTTCAGTTTTATGGAAAATCACATGAAAATCCAAATACATATATCTCAAGATTTATACGGATGTGCTAATATTTTTAGTTCAGGGGATGCATGATTATGCAATCAAACTTCTAGTATCTCAATTCACATCGAGAGACGGCACATTGGAATGGTTGGATTCAGATCCGTATGCCAGTATTACTACCTAAGATGAGTTGAAAAAGAAAGTTCTCTAATAAGTATTTTTCACCATATAAAATGACCAAAATGAAGATAAAAATTTCAACTTTTTAGCAACTTGATGGAAAAAAGCTATTATGAGGAATAGAATAGATTTAAGGAATTACTTGGAAAGTGTTCAAATTATAAGGGTCAACATGTACCACACTTTTATATAGGATTTCCACTCTCTGCAAATATCAGGTGGACTTCTCAGCAAACGGGTCCATCATGACTAAATCAGTATATGAAGCTATATAATTGTTTGAATTGATTAAAAAGACACATTCAATGTTCCATCATACTAATTAGGCTTGAAAAGAGTAACATGTATACATGAATTGGATAATTTATTAGCCACAAATTCACACAATGTTGCACTAAACTAACAAAGCATAAAGAACTCTTGGTGAAAGCTCATGAGGCTGATTTTTCAAAAATTGTATGGCTAAAGAATATATATTAAGGATTGCAGCCACTCTGAGTCAACATGTGAATTTTGTACAGAACCATCCATGCTTGCTGGACAATCCATATTCATAAACTTACAATCTGGTATGGAATTAGCACCCAAGATTTTGGTAGTCTAAAGATCAAAATAGTGGTAATTCCTCTAGCCCACAGTAGGAGAGAAGATTAAGTTTGAGAGACATATCTCAGCAGTAATTGCAAAAGACTACTAAAGAACTTCGCCGATGGAAATATATTATCAAAAACAGCGTGCCTCTATAAGGAAATTAGAAACTTAAATTAGTAGTTACCTTGCAATTGCCAGAGACTACTGGGTACTTTGCCTAACAATATTGAGAATAATCCATGGGAACAAGTGCACACTATTAACGTTCTCAAAGATAAGTCTTTCGACAATCCAGAAACTAAGGAAGCTGCTCAAGTTAAAAGATATGTGCATCTAATTATATCCCTCGGAGACTTTGAAAATACTCAGAAAACCAAATAGTACAGGCTTCACTAGGAGATGGATACAACTACGGAAAATCCATGTGAAAAGGCCAATTAAGAAACACGAACATGTGTTGATTGATAAGAAAGCTGTAAGGAATAATCTCAGTAGATTAAGGAAGTTGATCACACGGACAGTATACTAATTGTCTGAAGCTAAAGCTCCAAGCCCGGATGAAGCTTATGTGCCCCTATTCTCTTTCCTTAAGCGTTGCTGAAGCACAAGCTCGATAAGCTGTTTGAAATTTTTTTAGATGTCTTCAAGAAGTTGCATATCAACATCCCATTTGTTGATGCTTTATATTAAATTCCAAACTAAAGCCAAATTCTTTAAGGAGATGTTATCCAAGACGAGAAAGCTCAAAGAATTCAAGACAATGGCATTAAATGATGTGTAGTGCGGTTCTACTCAACAAGCTACCTCTAAAGTTAAAAAGTCGAGGGAGTTTCAAAATCCTATGCACTATTGGAAAATATTATACTAGTAATATTTTATGTGATTCGAGTGCAAATGTTAATTTAATATCCCTTGCTGTTTATAGGAGACTTAGCTTGGGAGGTATAAAACCACTTTTATCTTTGCAGCTTGCAAATTAATCCATCAAGCCTCTATAAGGCATGGTTGAAAATGTATTAATAAAAGTAGACAAATTCATGTTTTCAATGGATTTTATTGCATTAAATATTGAGGAAGATCTGAATATGCTAGTGATTTTGGGTCGATCATTCTTATCCATGAGACGAGCCTTAATTGCATTGAAAAATGTTTTTAGAATTTATGAAAAGGAGATGAATGATCAAGAAGTTGGCAAACTCAAACGGAAATAGGTGGATAGTTGGATCACTCAAACATGAAAATGCCATTTTAAAATTTGGAGACGAAGGAAGAATGCTAAGTTGGAAAACGTAAATAGTGTAAGCTGGCACTTCCATTTTAGGCCATGTGAAATGATTGTTCCAAGAAGTCGATCTTAGGGCTAAAAACAAGTGCTTATTGGAAGGCAATTCATTTTTCTTTATTTTTTTTTCCATAATTTGTTAAAAGTATATGTACTTATTATTTTAGAATAGGTCTAAAATTATGTTTGCCCAAAGTCTCACATGATTATATACTTCCTTTGTGAACCTCTCCATTTTATAGCTGCGTGATGGTAATATTTGACATAACAAGTTGTATGTGTTTGTATGTGAGTTGGACAAAATTATTATGCTTATTTGGATATATTTATGATTCATGAATTGTGACTAGATGATGTCACTTTTTCCGCGTTATTACTAAATTTATCCACATGAGATTGTAAAATTCTTGACCACAATAGTGATGATGTTCATTATTTTTTGAGTTTATTACATTGATAGAATATGTTGAATGAATTTTAGAACTATGTTGTTAAAACCAAGATCACAATTGAAAACACAACTATTTAACCAATTGAAAGGATAGTTGGAATGGTTGAACACGTGCCAAGAGCTATTTAGATAGGTATTTATGTGCTTGTTGAATGGGTGGAACCGAAATAGTAATCATACACTAGGGAGTTATCCCAACTACTCGTCTTGATAAAAGGAATTTCACTAGTCCGGAAAGAAAGAGGTAAAAGTGTAGGAAGAAGTAACTAGCATTGATAATGTTGAGAATCTACTTATCATGCGCAGCGGAAAATAAAACTAATTTCAATACCTACCAAGGATCTGCTTTGTATTTAGATGAAAACTGTGATAGAGATTGTATCTTTTACAATATCTGTAAACTCTTTTGCTATTCTTTTGTTCCAACGATCTTGATTTGCCACCCACAGCTCTCCAATTGTCCAAACTTCAATGGAAAACTACACAGAGAATAAGATTATAGGAACCAAGATTTTCTCCTCTTGTGCTAGCAAGAACGAAAAATCTCTACAAATTGAAAATCCTAGTCAATTATTTACCTAAGTCCAAACGGACTTAGCCTGATCCGGTCCAATATTTAATTAACTCATTTAATTAAATTCGGCACATGAATTAATTAATCCAATTAATTAATTTAATTCGGGCATATAAATAAGAAACTCAATTAACTAATTTATCTAACACTTGTTAAATTAATTAATTGACAAGTCACAATCTTCCAATTCTCCTTTTGTGTGTGACCTATTAGGTTCCCGATTACGATAATTAATGATGTGAATTATTATTTTGATCTAATGAAAGTCGATAGATTAAAACACGCTTTTAATTTATCACCAACTCACGTTCACTGTCCCAGATTGACATTTAATAATATGTTAGAGCAATACACGTGATGAAAAATGTCAGATGGTATGACAAAATCACATTCGTTCATTTATCATGAAACTATAATCCCTTCGTCAACATTATTCGATAAATTACAAGATATAAAAGTGTGTCAATTCCGATTATCGATCATATCTTTCATTCTACTATTAAATCTAGATAAGGCAAAAACTTGTTTTTGACTTCTGAGTACACTTTGGTCAAGGATTTCGTTATCGACTTAATTAAATAAAATGCAGATCATAATCTCTTACTATTTGAAAGTGACGAATCCTCTATTGGTCATTCACAACCTTCATACGATTCTTGGCATACCCGAACGATGTCATATTACCAGCCCTTGGCAAATCAACATCCAACACCGTCAAAGCATGACTACCCTCATATAAGGCAATATGACGACTTCAAGTGAACTGACCAATTCCACTATCGAACGTTAGAGATTAACTACTAACACTCAGATAGTTATCCATGTGGAATCTCTTAGCAGGCCTCTTATATTTTGTTCTATGACAAAATATCCATATGTTCATTCAAGCGTCACCACACTTTAACTTATGAGATCAGCTACTTACTTCATAAGTACTAAATGTCACACGTGATGGTCTAATCGTAATAACGATATCTGTATCTCATTATTACTTATGACAACGGACGATTTAAGATTCAATCATCTGAAATTTGTATCTCATAATCACAATTCCTTATAATTAACAAATTACGAAGATCTAAATCTACGGACTCTATTATTTAATTTAATTGAATATTTGATTAAGCCCTTGTTTGAGCCCCATTTTAGGGGAGGGGATGAATTTTTGAATAATATATTGATGGGAAATGTGTGGTAAAAAATAAGGAAAAATTTTGGATTTACATGCAATATTATTTTATTGAAGAATGTGTGGTTGAAATGATGTTGAAAAATTGTTGAAAAATGCATTCTTTCAAAAGAATGGGGCTCAAACAAGGGCTAAATAATATATTTGCCATAAAATTTCATTAATTATCTATTAAAAGTGATTATGTTCAAAGTTGATTGGATATAGGATATAACACTTATAGATAAATATAAAAAACCGTGTCTAAGTAGTCCTAATTATCCTAGAGTGTAGAAAGAAGAAACAATAGGAAGAAGTAGGGCTGGGCAAATCTCTCAAACCGAACCTCACCGTTCTTATCAAATTAAATACCCGAGCGGATATCTGAATTGAGAACCGACGGGTA